CTAATTCGGTTCGCTAGATTAATTAAAAATGAAAACGTCTACCAATTTCTAATGCTAACCCGGTTTAGTTTTGATAGATTATTTGATTCAGTAGGATATGAGAAGTCCTATCGTACGACAGCTTTAATATATGGTTAAAGAAAGACACTACCGGTTTATTATTATTATTTTAACAAAACCGGTAAAAATTACTAAAATATTATTATTTCTACCTAAAACATTAATGTTTTTAACATTTCCGGTAAAGTGTCCAATAATAACAAAAACATGTAGGAAAAATAATGTTTTAGGTAGCGTTTTATCGGATATGTTAACAAAATCGGTAAAACGGCCAATAATAACAAAACCGATAGAAATAATAATATTTTTGATAATTTTTTACCCATATTATTAAAAAATAATAACAAAAATGATAATGTATTTCATTAGCTGTATAATAAGACTGCTGTACTCGAGATTTTCCCATACTATATTAATAGAAAAATAGAATCGAATAAAACTATTGGTCCGCTTCCACCGGTAATGGTAAGCAATTAGTTCCCCCATGTTGGAATTAATTCTGGACAAAGATGTTTAGCAGTTTACATTAATTACATAGGGGAAGGAGAGCAACAAGTCTATCAAGAAGGGCATCAGTGTAATTCTCTCTGTTTTGGACAAATCTGGCGTTTAACGGTATCCATAGAGTGATACATAAGCTAATTATATAAAATTGAGGGATTGAAGGAAGTTTGTCATGCCATTGCTTAAAGGATGATTGGAGACTTGAACGGAATTGAGCTTAATTTATTATAATTTTTAAAAATGATTGAGATTTATCGATGAAAATAATTGAGTTACGATTATTATAGATAGATAAAAAGTAATAATTGATAAAAGACGATAGTTAATTATTATGAAAATTTTGCATTTCCGATAAGAAAAATGAGTCGAAGCAAATAATCCATATATTTTGAGTAAACTGAGGTGATTGTAAAGTAGTATTTATTTTAAATACTCTTAACCACTTGGTAATGAACACTCAATGCAGTCGTTGATGCTCGAACCGTAATCTCTAAAAATAACAACGATTTATTTAACCACTTATAACAAGTGTTATTTAGGATTAGAAGTTTATAAAAATCATATATTGTTGAGATAGAGATTTGGTATGAGCCAACCGAGACCTCGTAAGGAAAAACTAGTCATTTGTCGAGAAAATCTCACGTGCGGCAGCCTTAATATACGACTAAGGAAATGTGCTACCGGTTTTATTATTTTTTCTATCGATTTTGTTATTATTTGACACTTTACCGAAAATGTTAAAAAATATTAATACATAATCACGAGGTGATTTTACCGAAAAATCACCATGACATATTTTATTTACGTGTTAGATATTTTTTTAAAATTTTACCGATTTAGCATTTGTAGATAATTAGTTTATGTTAAATCCCCGCGGATGATGACGCGGACTTTTATAGAATGAGTGTTAGATTCGTAAAATATTTTAAAATAGTGTCTGATAGGTAATTAATTTTAGAGTGATTTTGTGTAAAAACGCCAAGTAGCTTTGTTTTGTTTTTTTTTTTTGAAAAAAATAAAATTTAATTAGCCAATTATTTTCATTTTTTATCTTCTGAAAAATTAATTCTTATAACCATAAAAAAGATCATGTGCCTTTCGCGCATATCATTTTCTTCTAATAATTAAATTTTTTTAAATAAAAATTTTCATTAAATCCTGGAAATAATATAATAAAATACCCTTTTTTCTTCAATAATAATAATAATAATGAAAAATATTGCTAATAAATTTTATCTCGTCTCTTGATTTTGTCAATATTTAACCAACATTTTTGTGTTAAATATGTTTTTAAATTTAATTGAGCTTCAAAGTTATTCTTATATACGTTGAGATAATATATATATATATATATATATATCGAGTATATAATTCTTATAAATCTATATTTTAATATGTTTCTGATACGCTGATTGAATGAATAATTAGTGAATTCTTATAAATCACTGTTGGTTTAAAGGGATACACTGCTTAAGGGGATGACACACATTTAAAGGTTCACTAGCATTAACTCATTAAATTTTTATTAATGTGTGATGCCAATAAAAGAATACAAATTAATAACTCAATTATCAAAATAAAACGAATTAAAAATATAATAATAATAAATAATTTTTTGAAAAATCAATGATAAAAACTTAATCATCAAGGTCAACGTCGGTCTTGTCTAAGGTAAGCATCACTAGTTTATTGGTTAAATAATGACAAAATCAATAGACGAGATAAAATTTTTTGACACTATTTTTCATTATTATTATTATCATTATTGAATAAAAAAAAGGTATTTTATTATCTTATTTTTAGGATTTAATGAAAATTTTATTAAAAAAGAAAAAAATTATTTGAAGAAAATGATAAGTGTGAAAGTCACGTTATTTTCTTTATGGTCATAGAATTTAATTTTCCAGAAGATAGGAAATGAAAATAATTGGCTAATTAAATTTATATTTTTTTCAAAAAAAAAAAACTACTTCCTTAATATTTTTGTAGTAATTTTGTACAAAAATCACCATAACAAAAATTGATTACCTGTCAAACATCGTTTCAAAAAATTTTACAGATATTACATACATCCCATAAAGACTCGGATCATCATCCTCGGTTTAACTAAAAAAATATAAAATCGATAAAATTTTCTGAAATGATATCTGACACGTAAATAAAATATGTCAGGGTAATTTTTCAATAAAATTGCCTAATCACGACTGTCCTTGAGTATGACTCAAACAATATCAACATAGATAGATCAAAAGGAGCGGATGGATACAATCATCCTTTAAAAGTTAAAATTATTATATATTTTAATTTTTTATGTATTTTTTTATTAAAAATATATTTTTGTTATTCTTAATATTTTATAAACTTAAGTTCGTCCATCTTATTCGTCTCTTAATATAAAATGTTGCATCCGTCCTTGGATATTAATATAGTAAAAAATAATAAATAAACATTGATGTAAAGATATAAATTTTCAGTTGAAAATAGTGAATATGCAAAGAATTTTGTTTTTTTAAAAAAATTTATCGTCTTGCTATACTATTTTTAATACTTCTCATTAATGGTTTTTTTAAACATTTTTAAATTTTTATTGATTTCCATAATTTTAATATTTTTTATTTTTATTTATTTAAATAATGCTCATTTATTCAAAATTTTCTTATTAATATTTTTTAGATTTATAAATTTATAATTTATATTTAAGAATTAAATAAATCGAAATTTAAGATCAATCACACCCTATTACTTCATTAATTTATATTAATTATCATATTGATACATTAAAAATGAATGTCAACCAAAATAATTTGTTTAATTTTTTCTATCGAGTTAATTTCATTGTGTGTCTTTAAATTATAACTTTCATTTTAAATCGATCCTTAGACTTTTAAATATTCTAATTTCATCCCTAGATTATGACTATTATTCTAAAGTAGTTCTTAAACTTTAGAACATTATAATCTCATCCCGAAACTATGACCCTCTTTCTAAATTAATCCCAAAACTTTTGAATCTTCCAATTTCATCCCTAAACTAATCCAAAATATATAATTAGTTTCAACCATAGTTAAACGTAATTTTTTTAATATATAATAATATAACTTGGTACAGTGATTTTATTAACAAAGGATGTGCTTAATATATACGTATAATTTAGGATAAAATTAGAATATTAAATTTTTTTAAAAATTAATTTAAAATGAAGGTCAAAGTTTAAAGATAAAATTGAAAAAAATTGAAACAGCTCTATAATTGAAGCTTTTAGCATGATGTAAAGGTGACAGCATTAAATAATTGCAACTAATTAGTGGTTGAATTAGATGACAAATGGGACAGCTTCTTCGCAGGCCAGTTGGCATTTTTGGCTCAAATCCCTTGGCACCCAGTCATTAATTACTTCAGTAGCCGCAGACTTTTATTTTCCTTCGTAATCACAACTACACGCGTTCTTCAACAGCGCGTGCACTCAGCTGGCATATTCCTCTCTGGAAATCTAATCTAAAAGGACACGTCAAAGTCTAAAAAGAAACCACGGATACTTTCTTCATAATGCACGTACGTGCATTATCTCAACTCAAATTTAAGCTAAATTTATTTGGGTAAACTACATGATAGTTAAATTGAATATTAATATATCGATTGATATATGATAAAATTATATTTTAATGATATTAATTAATATCATTATTATTTTTAAGTATTAATTCAACGACATAATATTTTAAGCATTAACTCGATAACATAATATAAATAGAGACTCGATGCACAAAATACAACTTAAATAGTTTTGGGATCAGATTTATTATATTGGAGTCAACAAGTTAATGTTCTGCTCAGAAGGTCCTAAAATTTTTAACAGTAAAAAAAAATTAGAACATATGAATAGTTGAGTGATCATTTTGTAACTTTTAATAATTGAATGACTCAATAAAACAATAAATTATAATTAAATACTCTTTTATAACTTTTAATAATTAAAAGACTCAACAAGATTATATTATATAATTAAAAGAATATTTGTGCACTTTACTCAATTTACTTTTAATAATTCTATAAAAAAAAATCTAAAATAGCTTAGGTGTGAATTAAGACTCCAAGTATGAATGTAGCTCCGTCAATGTATATGTATACGTACTGCATTTGAATGACAACACGGTTTTTTGTTTCAAAAGAAGTAAATGCAGTAATATAGTACATAATATAGATTCCTATTTTTATGGTAATATAGAAATTTTCATTTCTGTTCAAGCAAAATACGACTTTTACCCTGTCCTCTTTCAGGTTTATGTTCCACACACAAAACACAATCACCCGCGCAGTCCCTCCATTTGCTTAAACGGGACGGATGTACTTCGAAAAAGACACTGGTCTTCTTCCTGCTTCTGTTCATGTCGGATTCTTTTTATTTATTTTCTCTTTCCTGTTTTTTTAACCTTTTCCAGACGATTTTCCTTATGGATAATGATCCGTTGCTTCCCTACGCAAGTGGCCGGAAAAACCACCGCCACCTCCACCTCTTTTCCCTCTACCGGAAAACGATGAAGTTTCTCTCCCAATCCCTCTAACCCCATCGGAGTTAAAAGAACGACTGATCTTCGGCCCATCTCCTTCTTCCTCCCAATCTCCATTCGATTCATCTCCTTCATCTTCTTCTCAAGATCCTCTTTTGCAACAAAACCAACTGAACTCACCCTCAACAGCTTCATGGTTAATAGACCCAGATTTCACACGGGAAAAATCCAATCTTCACAGGTCCAAAACGGCACCCGCCATGGCGGTTTTGAACGATATCGTCCGCTCATCAATTCCCAAGCCTCAATCGGGTTCCCAATCCATTGTAAGACAAGCTTTCCTTCTTTTGGTCTTGTATTTGGCTTTGGGTGTCGTTATCTTTTGGTTTAACCGTCATAATTTTCTGGGTAATGAAACTCACCCGGTTGTCGATGCATTGTACTTTTGTGTTGTCACTATGTGCACAATTGGATATGGTGATATAATCCCTAATAGTGTGGCTACCAAGTTGTTTTCCATACTGTTTGTGTTGGTTGGATTTGGTTTTATTGATATTTTGCTCAGTGCAATGGTTTGTTATGTGCTTGATTTGCAAGAGAGTTATCTGTTGAGAACCGTTGAACATGAAGGTCAAAAGAAAGATTCTGCAAGATCTTATATAATTGATGTGAAAAAGGGGAGGATGAGGATAAGAATGAAGGTTGGATTGGCATTAGGAGTTGTGGTTCTTTGTATTGGAATTGGTGTTGGTGTTATGCATTTTGTTGAGAGTCTTGTCTGGTTGGATGCCTTTTACCTTTCTGTTATGTCGGTCACTACGGTCGGATATGGTGATCGGGCGTTTAAGACGATGTCTGGTAGGATTTTCGCTGCTATTTGGTTGCTCGTTTCTACTCTGGCTGTTGCTCGAGCGTTTCTGTATTTGGCCGAGGCTAGAGTGGATAAGAGGCATAGGAGCATGGCGAAGTGGGTGCTCGGACAGGACATGACTGTCTCGGAGTTTCTTGCGGCTGATATTGACAACAACGGTTTTGTGAGGTATGCTGTTTTATGAAATTTGTTAGTACTTGATCTTCATCTTGTAAAGTTGTGCTAGTAGTTCGTCGGTAACTGATTTAGTGTTTAGTTAATTAGTTGACATTTGATTGTGTTGGAACTTTTTTTTAGCTTTGTTTCAGTTTAAAGGTTATGGAGAATATGTATTTACTTGGGGCTTGAACAACTCGTATTCAGAGTCATGGTGGATTTATTAACACGCAGTTGCTTAAATTTTCAGATAACAGATTCTCCGTCCGAATAACTTATCCGAATTATGATAATCATCTGCCTAGTATAGACTACAGAACTGTGTCTTTATGCATGCGGGACTTTGAAATACTTTATCGGGGACAAACCGAAGCAAGGAATGTATACTGCTTCTTCTTGTCGCAATGCTAGTTTTCTTGGTCAGCACGGTTTATCTTTGGCTTCGATTACCGTACGGACTACATTTTATGATTATCTCAGACCATATAGTGTACATGGGGTGTCGATGATATTCAAGTGCAATAAATAGTCGCTTCATAATTCGGAGGTCTTCTACGGAAGCTGCTCTCAACCTGGTGTTAGGGTCAGCCTACTATCTTACCTCCCCTTACCCCATTACATATGGGAACAAGGGGAACAAGGGACAGCCAGCCAGCCATTCAGTGATGCATCGAAGATGACGCTTTTTGCCCTTTTGCATATAATATGTAATGGATTCAGTTGTTTGTTAATTTATTTCCAGTTGTAAGTTCTATTCTTCTGTTTCTCCATCTTTCCATTTGCTGCTTCATGGACTTGAGCACGAACGAGGAATTGATAGTACGACCAATTGAAGTCCATGATATGTCTAAATTTACTATTTCCAGAAATTCGATTATCGATCTCGATGTTTTTAGTTATTCATTTACTGTTGAACTAATGCGTAGTTTACTTGATTCGTTGTTTAGTACTAATATTGTTTTTCTGTATGCAGCAAATCCGAGTTTGTGATATACAAGCTGAAGGAGATGGGAAAGGTCTCAGAAAAAGACATTATGCAGATCAGCGAGACGTTCGATAGGCTGGATGCCGGCAACTGTGGGAGGATAACACTTGCCGATCTTATGGAGCATAATCATTAATCTGCGAGAAGCCTTGCTAATAAATGTCGTTACGATACACGATGATGGTCGCATAGATGGTCACAGATGACATCGAATCAACAACAGCAGAAAGGGCTGGTTCGTTAGCATTCGAGGCAAGGGACGGCGAAGTTCGTTCGGATCTTTATGCATGCTAAGTTGGTCCTCTTCCTCATCCACAATGCACCATCCCTTTTTATTGATCAGAAAAAGTCCGATGCTTGGTTTTTGGTACCATATACGATCAGGGTATGTGTCTGATATCAATATGTTAAAATGTAGGCGGTGGGAGAAAAATTGATATCCCTTCGTGAGATTAACCTTCGTATATGAAAATATTATTTCCGGACCATATATGTATTATGTCTTATGAACATATGATACTGTTATATGTTCTTATTTTTTTCATTAGTACCATACCAATCCATCTAGAGTTCCAACCGGTAGAGAGCTGGATTTGATAGCCTTGGCAGTGGAATGGCAACAAGTGGATTCTTCAACTTGAGCACAATCCCGAACTTCTCCGAAACATCAAACTTGTCTTCCTCCGCCACTTTCCAGTCAAAAGAATGCGAAACCGTGGCAATCGTTTACTACACCATCCGCTCAGCCATTGCCACACCGGCTCACATTCTTCTCCCGGACCCGAAAGGAAAATAACCGAAGTCATTCCCACTGAAATCCCACCGGCTGTTCAAGAACCGGTCAGGGTTGAACTCCGACGGGTTCTCCCACACGCAAGGGTCCCTGTGAATTTCCCACGCGTTGATGAACACCATACAACCTTTACGGATAGTGTAGCCCCCCACGGTGAAGGCTTCTTTGGGGCTATGGGGGACCAGCAGAGGAAGAACCGGGTGCAAACGCAACGACTCTTTCATGATTGCGAGTAGGTATGGTAATTTATGGATATGAGATTCTTCCACAATGTTGTCTTTGCCGACTGCTTCGTCTAGTTCTTTCTGTGCTTTTTCCTTTACTTTTGGGTTGTTTATGACTTCGGCCAATGTGAACTCAATTGTATTGGAGGATGTATCCGTTCCTCCGACCACCATATCCTTGCCAAATATTAGGAAAAACATAAAATTGGATTAGTAGATAATAGTGTTTAAGCTTTAAGACTAAATAATTATTGACTTATTTTCAAAATTAACCCCTAATATTTATTAAGATATTTATTTGGATTCTTTTTTATTAGCCTAATATTTCATTAAAAAAGAAGAAGAAGCATGTTCTTAACTTTTGATTGAATAATCACTTTGACAATATTTTAGCTTTAATATTTTATTTTAGGGTGAAAAACACTTATTTTAGAGCCTAAGATTTTTTATTTTTCAAAATAAAATGTAGGAGTAAAATACTTTAGAAAATGAGTTAAAAAAACTATTAGAGTATTTATTTTATTTTATTTCATAATTATTTTGACTTATATTATTTTAAGTAGTTTTACTTCTAATGTTTTATTTTAAGATAAAAATACATATCTTTAATTAAATAATCACTTCAAATCATATTTCATATTTTTGGATAATTTGAGTCCCAACATTTCTTATTTTATAAAAAAAATATTTTTTTTAAAATGTTAATAGTTTGTAGACTAATCATTTCTATCTACAAAAATATTTTTAACCCAAAATAAAACATTTTGATTAAAATAATAAAGAAAAATGAAAATAACTATCTTTCACTATAAATATATAAAAGATAAATATAATAAAACGTTAGGTCAAAAATTGACCACACTTTAAGTATATAAAAGATAAATATAACATTATGTTGGATCAAATTGAAATTTTTCACTATAAGTCTAAACTCAACTCAATCACCCTTTAAAACATTTTAGAAAAATCTGACTTATAATGAAAAATTTAGGGACTTATTTTTACCAAAAACAATTTAAGTACTTAAAGTGATTACATATAATAGTTTAAGGTTTTAGTTTGATAAAAATAATTTAGGTACTTTAAAAAATGACATTTAGTTTGATAAAAAAATAATTTAAGTACTTAAAACAAAAAAAAATGACATAATTTGAATAAATTTTTTAGTTTAAACCTTTTTATTTTTAAAATTTAAATTTGATTTAAGTCTAAACTCAACTCAATCACTCTTTAAAACATTTTAGAAAAATCCGACTTAAATCAAATTTAAATTTTAAAAATAAAAAGGTTTAAACTAAAAAAATTACTCAATGTCATTTTTTTTGTTTTAAGTACTTAAATTATTTTTTATCAAACTAAATGTCATTTTTTTGAAGTACTTAAATTATTTTTTTATCAAACTAAATCCTTAAACTATTATATGTAATCACTTTAAGTACCTAAATATTTTTTGTCAAAATAAGTCTCTAAAGTAGGACTCTTTTTACTTTGACAACTTAAACTTAATTTTTGTCAAAATAAGTACCTAACTTTATATGATATGTCAACATCTTACAGGACAAAAAATATTAGGACTTAAAATGATTAAATACAATAGTTTGATAAAAAAATTATTGAGATGCTTAAAATAAAAACAATACATAATTTGAATACTTGTTCTTACTTTAACCAAATAAAAAAATTGATCTGACTTGATCCGAATGCAATGATTATCCCTATTAATATATGATACTGTTTAAGCTCAGTTAATACAAACAAATGTAAAAAAAAACTCACCAAGAGCAAGGCTTTGATATGATCTATGGTGAGAGCTGTCTTGGAATCATTTTCATCCTTCAACTGTATCAGGAACTGCAAAAAGTCCTCCACTTCCCCTGACGACTTCTCACTTTTCTTTAACCGTTGATCGATCATTTCATCGATGATTCTATTCAACTTCTCCAATGGTTTTGAAATGCGTTTGCATAGACCTTGCAAATCAAGAGGGGCAAGCACCGGGAAAAATCGGAAATGTTAGGCAGACCAAGAATCTCTGTTATTTCGGACATAACTTGCTTGAACTCCGCACCGGAGTTAGCTCCGGCATCCCAGATTCACCGGCGCTCCGGCGTTACCGTATAGGTAATCCACGGTTTCCCGTACTTCTCTACGGCGGAGCATATACATCTTGTCCAAAGTAGCATTGTTTAGCATTTTTAGAACACATTACCTTTCTTAACATCCGCCACTGAGATCCGTAGGGGCTCCAAACTATATCACGACCACCGGTTGATAACAGGCCGACCACCGGCTCGTCACGGTTGGCGAATATGATGTCTTGGTCTTTGAGTACTTGTCGGGCGGTGGACGGGGAGGAGAAGAGGATAGCGATCTTGCTTCCGAGCCGGAGTTTGACGACTGGTCCGTAGGTGCGAGCTAGTTGAGCGAAAAAAGAGTGAAGGTCGGGTTCAGGGAAAGGTAGGCTTCCCACTATCGGGAGGCCTCGAGGGCCTGGTGGTGATTTTGGGTTTCCTTTTTTTTAACTTGATGCAAATAAATGAATACCGGAAAACCACGAAAACGCCGACGAAGGTGAAAAGGAGGCGTGCGAAATCATCAGTCCGGCGGGTATCGTTGCTAAAGCATGACCAGATTTTGGAATAACTTGAAATGATAGCCATGACCAAAGAACGAAGAGAGATGGATAACTAAGCTCAGCTGTCGTGGTGGAAAGTATGTAGTACGCTATCTATTTAAGGCATATAATCTTTATGGATATTATAAATATCCAATGTTTTTAAAATCGGATCAGACATTGAACCGATAAAGGTACTGATTCACTGACGAATTCAACCGCAGTTGAATCGAATTTTATATAAAATAATTTTTTTTTTAAATTTTACATAATTTTAAAAGCAATATTAATATATATGTAAGACTTTTTTTAAGTTTACAATATTAAAAGGTATAAAAATATCACAAGTCATAACATATATAAGTTAAAAACTATAAAATCAAGTGAAATAAAATAATTCAAAAAATAAATTTGGGACTGAAAAAAATCATAATAAACGATGTCATTTGGTTTAATTTAAAAAAAAACAATCTCACATGGCTAAGAAACATAGAAGAGCATCTCAAAAGTCTAAAGAGTAAAAATATGAGAACAAACAATCCCACATGGCTAAGAAACATAGAAGATCATCCCAATTGATTTCTATAAATAATAGAGGTAATTTGACATTCAAAATCATGGAGTCTTTTGGTGAGTACAGAGCGAACTATTCTTTCGCTTCAATCGAGCTCGAATTTTAGGCTTCAATCGAGCTTTTAATTTTTTTTTTAGTTCGAGCCTTTTCGAGTTCAAGTTTCAATATTATATTTCCAGTTCGAGTTGAACTTGATAATTTTTAGCTTGTGAGTTTTTGAGTAAAATTGAGCTTACTTTTAAAGTTTTTGAGTTCGAGTCGAGCTCAACAATACTCGAGTTCGACTCGGCTCGTTTAACAAACGCCGTCGTTTGGTTTAATTTTTTTTAAAAAAAGAAAAAAAAATGGTGGTTCACACCGATTTTCAGCTGGTTCACCCCGATTTTGCCAGTTTTCAGCCGGTTCTACCGGTTATGTGCATATCCGATTTTGGAAGTTAACCAGACCGAACAGGCAACCGGTTTCCGGTTCAATCGGTCGAATCGACTGGTCTGGTCTGATTTTAATAACATTGTAAATATCAGACTTAATTGCAACATATGTACTCAGATCATGATCCTATTTTTAAATTGGTCCCTAAACGCCTAAATATTTTAATTTCATCCCTAACTACGACTACCCTTCTAAATTTGTTCTCAAACTTTTGTAAATTTTAGTTTCATCCCCAAACTATATCATTTATTCTTAATTGGTCCATAAACTTTTTCAACATTTCAATTTTATCCCAAATTATATGTATATAAAAATCATGTTCCATGTTAATAAAATTTTTAGGTCAAGCTATATTATTATATGTTTGAAAAAAATAAAGTCCAAGTTAAAGCATGGTTAAAACTAAATATATATTTGGATGAATTTGGGAATGAAATTGGAATATTTAAAAGTTTGGGGAATTAATTTAGAATAAGGGTCATAGTTTAAAGATAAAATTGGAATGTTCAAAAGTTTAAGGACTAATTTAGAATGAGTATCATAGTTTGAGGATGCAATTAAAATATTCAAAAGTTTAATGAACAATTTAGAATGAGGGTCATAGTTTAGAGGCATGTGATGCAATTAACTCTAGATAATATTATTTAAAAAGTAATATTATATTTTTCTAAATCACCGGTATCTGATATATTGATCGACTAATCTCGATCAATACTACAGAGGCAAGAACAATTCTCTTAATCCAGTTTGCTCTATTCATAAAAACTAAAACTTAAACCCCAAACCTTACTTAAAGATCTAATATTTTATCCCACTAGACTAATTAGTTGTTGTCATTAGTTTTATATTCA